TACATAAAATGGGAATAAAATGACTTTGTTACAATAATTCTCAAAGGAAGATGTTAACAAAGTGCCTGCACACAAATGGGCATGTAATCAAATGCAACTGTTTTTAAATGAGTGGATGAGGAAACAAACTAAAAGAGTAGCTTGATTCCCACAAGTCCTTGAAAGAATCTGGGCAACAAGACACTGCATCTTTTTGACTGCACCATGCTTCTCTAGATAGAGAATTGTTCACTTCAAAAAGGAAAAGGCTTTAGGTTAATTCTATTATACAGTGATCTGAATGGCATAAGCTTTGGAGTCCTCATCTACAAGAAAAATACATAAATAATGTTTTTATAATTATTTTAATTTTAGAATCTTCACACCCTTTGCACAAATGAATACTTGTTAAATGAATGAATGTATTTTTAAATGAGAAAATGTGGAGAGCATATTTTTACTTTCAATAATAAAACCCAGATTAACTATGTAACAGTATCTGCTTAAAACATGCTTTATTAAGTGCCTTCCGTAAAAGGTGTATAAAACTTCTTAACTGGTGAACTGGATTATCAATTTACAGTTCAAGGAGAGCCAGTGGCTGACTGTTCTCTTTCTATCACTTGCTGTGCTTACACACTGGCATAAGGACTCTGGCTTTCTAAGACAGAGCAAGTAATTGATTTGCAGAAAACATAAAGTCACTTTCTGCTTTCATATACACTGCCAGACTTATTTTAAAAATTTATATTCTGTACACCAGTAGTCTTTCTTCAGTTCTTATGAAATAGTTTTTACAAAAACTGAAAACATTACTCATAAGCAACTACAAGGAACTATAAAACAAGCTTAGTAGATTAAAAACATTAAACATTTACTTTATTTAGAAGTAAATGACTATATGTTATGTACCTTCCTTATGGCTGTCTCTTATGTTAAACAAATTCTAGATCCAACAGTTCCCTCAGAAAATAATCAGCATTTCCAACCCCTCTGAAAAAATGTGAAGACATATATAAATATATATATGTATATATTTTATGCACAAATGAAATAGTCACAAGGTAATTAGCAAAACGTGTGTTTCTTAAATAGTTACTGGATTTTTAAGAGTGGGTTTAAAACAACTTCCAAAGTTGTACAGATTCTAACGTATCTAAATGCTGAGATTTTTAGTTTCCTTGTTTTAAATTTACAAAAACCCAAGGATACCTTTTACTAGATTCATTACTTAGGACCTGATTCTGGTTCCAAGCCTGCTTATTTTCAAATTCTCTAATGCTATTTAAAGAGAATTATCTCTTTCAAGTCGTATACTAAATCTACGTTATCTCTTAATTCTCAAAATTTCATGTCACCTAAGAGAGGGTCTACTTTAATTGACATGTTGAAACTACATACATGTCTTTAATTCATGAGTTCTGCTAGACCATAGTATTGCTAAATAGATTATTTCCTTGAACTCATTATTGACATTCTAGAGCTGTTTGGTGTGTTTGCCTTTAGGTCCCATCTTCTAGAAAGGAAAAAAAAGTATAGCTTTCCAAAAAAGCCATTTTTTTTAATTATACCAACTGCAGCTGGCATTTTCCTGAGTATTAGATACGATACTTTGTTGACCTAAATTAATGCATCCTGAGCAGGGTGTGAAGGGTCTACAGGGGTATCAATGGAAAAGAAAGCAAGAGTAAAGAATTCTTCAAACAAGGCAAGTAAAGTACTGATCTAGGTTTTTCTGAGTGGCCTAGCCAAAACACCTCTCAAACAATGCCCTGCTTTTAGAACCTGACCAAAACAGAAATATTTAAGAGACTTTTTGCATGCAGATATTTTTGTTATAATTCTACGAATAAATTGAACTCAGTAAAACACACATTTTGCAATGACTTTGTTGCAAAACAAATGATCTGTTTAGATTAGCCAAAGCTGCCATGGATCCCCAGATACTGTCCTCAGGTGAAGTGCCAAAGCAATGACCTTCAGTGTAATGGAATTTCATGCTAGCTGAAACAATGTGTGACGCTACTGGCTGCCAACTGGAGTGCAGGCACTGTTTTTTCCCCTTCTCAGTAACTATGAGGCTATAAAATATATTTCTTCACCTTTCACACAACCATTACTTCAGTGCTTCTGCTATAGATAAGGCCAAAACCTCTGTAAACTGGCTCGTTACACTATATGACTGATTAGAGGGGAAAAAATAATTTCTTTAGGTAGGTAATATGTTTATAACATATATTGACCGTTTGCTATCAGTAGAGCTTTTTAGTAAAACACTTTTGTCCTGGAAAATGGAATCCATTGTCCTTTTTGTATGTTTTTCAGAGGATAGTTTTCTAATGTAACTTTAAAGCCTAATTACTTCACATTTCCAAAGTACCAGACCATAAAATGGTCTAAATTCTAACAGGCAAGGCAATCTAACATGAAAAATAATTTTATGCTTTTAGAAGTGGGTGACCTTTCCTAACTCACATTGTTTCTTGAGAAATGAGATTGAATTTAAGTGGGTATGGTAACTCTTTATTGATACCTAAGCTATCCAAACCAGATACTATTTATTTCTTCTACTTTAAAAGTTTACGATTTTTTCTTTTTTAAGTAAGTACTGGTAAGAAAGGCTTCTGTGAACTTCACCAAGCTGTAAGTTTGCAGAAGGAAATGGCAACCCACTCCAGTATTCTTGCCTGGAGAATCCCATGGACAGAGGAGCCTGGAAGGCACAGTCCACGGGATCGCAAGAGTTGGACATGACTTAGAAACTGAATCACACGCACACAAGCTGTAAGTTTAGTTTTTGTCCAAACGCCCTGAAAGCAGTGCACTCAGAGCAACCTGGAGGCAGCACTCAGGAACTCTGCTCTGCCCTCACTTGGCGATGGTCTTACATGCTCCAGCATGGACACACACACACACGTACAGGCACATTCAGTCACTCACTCACATGCTTCCTGGAATTGATGTTAAAAAGTTAAGCGAAAACTGACCAGTGTAAGTGGAGGAGAGAAGTTTCAATCCACGAGAAGACTCAGTAAATACTGTAAAGGCTGTAAACTTTGTAATAAAAGCAAAGGCTCTATTCAACTACATTACTCTAAATTATCACTAATAAATGATCTAATAATTGAGTAAGTTCATATTTTCAGATTTTAAAAAGGTCATGCTTATCCTTCCCTACCCTGACAGAAAACAGTCTGCACATACATGAGACTTACACCTTTATTTGCCTCATAAAAAATAGCTGCCAAACAGCTAGGCCATTGTTCTCGACTAACTTCTTCTCAGGTGGCATGAAAACCACATTCCTGGGCAGCACGTAATCATAGTGTCTGACCCCCCAAGAACCATTAAGTCAAACTCCCTTACCCCCAGAGGGCAACATACTATTGTACCCTCTCCACTTCTGAGCCAGCTATGAACAATAGACAGTAATTGCAACTGTCATGGGCAGTCAGTAGGAAAAGCAACATAGTGGTCCCCCCCCCACTCCCGCCCAGTTTTCTGCCAAACCTGATCCAAGCAGCTAACAACCATGCCCCCCAGCAGAAGAAAGATCTACAGGTGCTTTTCAAATGCATCAGAAAACAGCTTTTTGAACAGAAACAGAGGACAATAACCAAACTTGTGCTCTGAATGTGCAGCTTAAAAAACTCAGAATTAAAGACAGAAACTTCTTTTGTGACTGTACTGCAGCTTCCTGAACTAACCCCACAGGCAAGCCTGAAAGGACAGCTGAGCTTCTTTCCTCTAAGCTTATCATCACTGCTGCTGGCTGCTTTCAAGTTAGACTTGTGAGGAAAACGAGGTAGGGAAACATGCTTGTCCTCCGATGGAATGAGATCACAAGGCTGGGAACAGGCAGTCTTCTTGGCTCAGCTCTTAGTTATTACCCAGGTCATAGCAGAATAAAGAACCTTGGAGAATATGTCCTATATTGCAGGTGCAAATGGGTTAAAATCCCACAAAATAAAGGACCTGCTGCTTCAGAAAAAGAAGAAACTTCACTGTTCTCTTTAACCTCTGTCTTCAAGCTCTGGACGGGATATTAATTATTACTTGCTGGAATTTCATTATAGGTTATGGTTACTTAATTTGCAGATTAGCAGGAATTTATTCTCTTACCACCCATTCACAACTAATCATAGCCAAACTCCAAACAGTTGGATGAAAAGTGAAATACTCAAACACTTTCTGGAAGTTTTCCAATCCAAGATGGCTGATATCACCTAAGTCAAACTTTTGAGCAGACTGATCTATGGTTTGCCTTTCTCTAGGATGCTCTGATGTAGCAGAATGTTGAGAGATGATTGCCTCTCACTGGGAGAACATGTACATGAACAGACATATGGAAAAAAGTTATTTATACACATATTTCTACATGTATATTAATACAAATCTGGTGATATTTTAAATATATATTCAGTTTCTATCAAAAATATACAAAGTAATAAGTAACAAAATCTATTAATATTGGTAAGTGTATTTTTTCTTAAAATTAATCCCTTAGAACTTAGAATCAAAAGTGTCCTATTGGCAACACTAGAAAACCATGGGTTGCCTACTATGCTCTGAGAAAACACACTTTGAAATTAATTGAAATGACCATTTGACTTTATTTTCATATGAAGAATTAAATCTTCTTCCTGTATCATTCCTGGTTTTAAATGTAGATTATGTACACTCATAATTTTAATATGTAGACTGTGTAAAATTACTACCTTGTAATATACAGTTTTAACCCTGCTGTAGATACATTTGTACTTATAAAGTAAGTCACTTAAAATTTTTAAAAATGATTAAAAACCAAAGGCTGTTAAAAATATAGGTCATTTTGTTAAGACAACATACTATTATACGGCACAGAGAAAAAATAAGAACTCTGGTATATCCTCTTTCAAATGAGAAAGAATAAGCAGCAAAAACAGAATGCATGGGGCAAAAGTAGTTTAGCACCATTCACATTTCCAAATATCAGACTCATTTTGGCACATTCTGGATCAAAATAATTGCAAATATATTACCTTTTATTTCACCAAAGTTCCCTGATCCCATTGCAAGAAGCTTGTCTTTCCAGTCCTTTGAGAGTAGTTTTTCAATACTGGGGGTTTCTGAGTAAAGGAAAAAAAGAAAGGTAGGCAAATCAACAGGACTATCTTTCTAATGTAGTTCATTAAAAGTCTATCTGCTAAAAATATGGCCACCCCAACCCCGCCCCCAGTTCATAATGACTTCATCAACACACTGATAACAGGGGAGGAAAAAAAAGAATGTGTTTTGTCACCTGCTGTTTCAAAATCATTAGCTTTTTCCTCTTGCGGAACAAAGCCTAACTAATTCTTTATGACAATGGGTACATATAAACCTGCAATTCATTGTTTTTCAATTTGGTGAACAAATTCCCGCTATAATGGATGCTTGTCAATTTCAGGGTGTTAGTCTGCAGTCAAAAAATAATTATGTTGATAAAATGCAGAGTAAAAAAAAAGGCAAAGAATTAGCTCTTAAATCTGCTACATGTAATTATATCCCTCTGTGTGTTTACAATTACAACCACTTTATAATATGTGTTTAACATCGTGTGGTGGTAAGCACACTGTGGAAAGATTTGCCAGTATCGCGAACATATAAAAATAAGTTGGTATAAAAGAAGCTTTACAAATACTGCAAAATCTAGAGATGGGAGTAATGCCCGTAATGGAAACTTACTTGCTTATTTCAGATTTGTAGCATACTCTTTTAAAATGCCCTGTGTTAAGATAGGACACAGAGGTTTTAGAGAGCAGAGTTATGCGGTAGTTTGATCCTTGTTTCTTTATGTCACATGGTTTTGATCTCCTTTTGTGTTGAATTTTAATGTATAAGTAAACATAAATGCTAATAAAACACCCAAACATTAAACTCAGTTCCAAATAATGTAATTGTATATTCTTGTCAGCATTTAGATGGGTACACAATTACAATGGCTTTCAATCCCGCGATTAGCACTGCATTCAGTTAGAAAATGGTGTGTACTAAAAGATAAGTGTCCCAGTATGCTCCATCTAAATAACAATACCCACACTTATTATCTAGATCGAAGACACACACTGCCATTCTCCACATTGGTGTTTATGTGTATTTGTGTTTGTTCAGACATTTGTTTACCCCCTACTAAGAGCATAAAGGGAGTACATGTTAACTTATCAAAGGGACCGTCTGGCCTAGAGACCATAAGATTATTAGAAATGGGTTAATTTTCCCCACAATAAAATGCATTTTTAAAGCGTCTCCTTGGTTAATGCTTTCTACTATTCTCAGGTCCTCATCTTAAAGACAACAGCTATCAGAGTCAGGAAGCCTGTGTAGAGTTTTCAATGAAGTGAGGTGTAATTTTCCTTGGAAAAACTGTGACAACATGAATCCTTCTTTTTCACATGCCAAAACTTGGGGAAAATAAAATGCTGAAAAATCTGAATAATTACTTCTTCAAATAGCTTGTATATACAATGTGTGCACACACACACAACTACTGTATGCACATTTACATGGAATGTGTGAAATGTATTTTTTCCTTTGTAACAAAATATACCTCTTCATTTGTCGCATTTAAGGGAAGAGGATGCTAAAGATTTTACTTTTTCTTAAAATATCCCTATTTGTTTACCATGTTGTTTTGAAGATGATAATGGCAATTCTGAATAATAAAATGCATTAAATCTCTTCTTATTGTAATCAATATTTCTGTTCACTAAGGCTTTAAAAGTAACTTTAAAACACTTCTGCAGGGATTTTCAATGTTTCTACATTCCCAGTAAACACTTTGTGAGTGAAATCATTTTTTAAACCTTATCAGAGTAGGTCAAACAAACACCACTGTTTTCTTTTTTCCAGAACCCTACAAAAATTCTTGAGTAGCATGTAAACAGGGCACAGCCAATATGGTATTTGCAATAGAGTACTGTCAGTCACTAAAAGCTAACAAACCTTTGCAAAGCAGGAATGCAGCAATAGAAATTCATTGTGTACTAACAATAGGCCCCTGAACCTCCAGCACCAAAAGCAGACCATTTTACTTTTAAGGCTATTGTCTGCAAAGTCCATGACAAAGCTTTTCCCCTGCAGCTAGACAAAATATTCACTGTAGTGTGCTCATAAAGAAACAGAAGTCTTCTGTCTAAGTTGCAGAGTTAAAGAAACAGCCGCCAGATTTCTGAAACCTGCAGAACATTCCTGGCCTCTTTATTAACTTGCATGAAGATAGAAGGCTCGCATACAAAGCCACTTTATTTTTTTCAAGTACCTGACTTTCAACATACACTACAGAAAAATGAATAACTTCTTTAAGACCAAGTAATTCGAAAGATGTAAAATCAGAAATATATCTAACTCAGGATTGTTGTGCCTTTGGATGAATAAAGACAATAATACTTGGAATTTGGATAAGGTATATTTTTTAAAACGCAGATTCAATAAACATGTATTGAACATCCTGTGTGCAGGAATTATGCTAGATGCTTTTACCAGCATTCTCTCATTTAATCAAAGCAAACACCTGAAGATTCAGATTATGTTATTATATCTATCTTCCAGGGTTTTTTTTGTTTAAAAAAAAAAAAAAACCAAAGAACTTGTCTGAGGTTTCACAATGTGCAGTGGGCAGAGCTGAGTGGTGGCCTAAGGTTTTGTTTTGTTTTCTCTGCAGATTCCTAAGTCTCTTGTTGTCAATGAAATGATAATGATAGCTACTATTCTGAACTTAAGTGCTAAACAGTGCATCATGTCCTTTACATGCGGTATCTCAAGCTTCTCATAATAATCTCCTGAATTATATATTGGTACATCTGTTTCACCATTGAGAAACAAAAGCTTTGAGAAAGATCACGACTTGATCAATATGGAGCTAATTTCAACTTATTGGACCCCAAAGCCTTTGCTCTTTCCAATACATACACATCCCTGCATTTTACCTGCAAAATAGTCATGGATAGACAAACTCTTGTTATTAACTCCAGTGGATGGATGAAGTAAACATTTGAAAGGATAAATTGAATATCCCAGGGCAATACGTTCCTATGGGTAGCATGAAGAGATTAAAAGCCAAGATTCCTTAGAGCTTTCATTATGTTCAGGATGTAGTGCCACTATATGACTTTGAACTTTGGAATTCTGAATGATTTAAAGAGAACCTATGATGATTTAACTTTTAGTTTCACTTATGACCATATAGCAGATATATGCATTGAAATGAAAATGTATTCACATAGTAGAAGGACTCTTGGGCTATATGTGAAGCAATCTGGGTTCTCACCAGGACTCTGACACTGTCTAGCTCCGAGAGGAACTAAAGCATATCTTTTCACCCATTTCACCCCTCTATTTGAATTAATCTAAAAAAGCTTTAAGCTAATCCATGTTCGGTATTCTATAACTGCTACTGTTCCAATTTATTTCCACTGGCAGTTCATGAAGAAATGTTAAGAAATGATCTCACAATAATGATCACAATAAATGGACATGTACCAGTGACTAAGCTGCTCTGAAAACAGTAAAGATCCCATAGAATACAAATGATTAGAACTGAGAAAGACCAAATGGCAAAATCTCAATATTTATAATACACCTGTTCATTAATATGTTAATATGATTAAAGTGAAATCTGACACAACTATGTAACGGCTGCTTCAGTGCTTATGGAGTCAGAGAGTAGTTGTCTATTAAATATTCAATTTTCTAAACATTTTCTAAAATGCAATATTTTTTTAAAAATATATTCTTAGGATTGTATTTTATACAATTGAGGATGGCATGTTTCTGGACATATAGTTATTTCCAAATGTTTAAATTCTGTACTAGCCATTACTTTCATATTAAGATGTATCATAGTTTTATTTTAAATTAAATGCTTTAAAGAGTCTCCTGAGATGTACTTCTCCCAGGCATTGGAGTATCATGATTACCATCAAAATTAAAGCTAGGGTTCTCTTTATTACCATAAGCATGATGGATAATACTAGTTATTATTATCTGCATGGCATTTTGGCTTATAGAATGCTGTCAGATACAATAATTTATCAATGGTGTATATTATTATCATATCCATTTTGCAGATGAGAAAACCAAGGCTCAGAAAGAAAACCAAGACCCGGCATCACCTAGCCAGAAAGGAGAACAGATGGAATACAAAACCATGGCCTCTTAATTCAAGAATCTCCCCTTTTTAGGTGAAGCATAAAAATGTATATATATTTTAAAGAAAAATAAAATAAATATTAAGAAAGAAGCTAAAAGATAAATTAGAACTGAAAGCTCTCCTTATTAGTCAACCTATTATTAGCAAGATGACTATAACTGGGTTACTTTTGTCTCTTTCTACCATCAGGACAGAATGTTATGATTTGGTAAGTTGCTTGCCTTTCCCGTCTCACCCTCGCTTCTTTCGCTTGCATATGCTTCTTCACATCAGTGCCTATAGCAATCCCACCAGTGAATGGCCCCCCTAACCGTGCCAGGCATTGTTACAACAGCATCCTGCCTCTTTAGGCCTGTTCATTCCCTATAACTCTCACTCCTTTTTCCCTTCAGTGCCAAACACTCTTAAGACTGACTCCCTCATCTGGAACAATGAGACCCAGAGACTCATGCCAACATATTGTAATTCTCCAACAAGCTCCCAGTGCCAAGAATTAAACCACATTCGCTCCAGTGCAGTAGCTTTACACACAAGCTCAGGTTTTTGCTTTGTGTTTATGTAGGTTTTTTCCCCTTAATCTCCCTTGAGCTGCAGTGGCAGAGCTCATTGAAAAATCAAACAAGCAAAAAATATGTATGGATAATATGTGATTTTTCAAAAAGTCCCAGGAGTTAGGTCATACCAAATCTACCACTGTTTATACTTTCATTTTGTGGCTTAAACTAAGCTGTGTTATTTCTGACATGTGATAGGAACATTTAGGGATGAAAGCTATCTTTTGGAAGGAACAACAGTAGGGCTGAAAGTCAAAAATATACTAATATACTAATACTTCAAAGTCAAGAAGTAAAAGCATATGTAGATTTTCATGTCATGGATTCAGCATTTTAAACCTGGAAGGATCTTTAGATAACATTTAGATAAACATTCCACAAAAGT